CCTATTCCCCGCCCCCGGGCACGAAAAAGGAGACAATTCGCCACCCCCGGGACTCCCATCTACCTCAACTATGTCTGTATGTGCAATAAAGAGGGCCGGTGGCAATGTTGGTTGCTGTACAATAGCAAAAACAGACATTTTGTCAAGAACGCAACGCCTTTCTAGAGTTTATTGAACAAAGGATACTACGTAGAGTAATATATATATACTATATAATGCATTGAAAAGAGAACTGATTTATATTCCATACAACATTAACGGCTCGGCCAAAAAAAAAATAAACAGCTGAATGCTGGATCAGTATAAAATGTTTTGAAGTCAACTTGTTAAAAGGTTGACAAGTGTTTTAACAGGTTTAAATTTGAACTAATATTAACATTGATCTGACAAAACTTCGTTTTGTACGAGGATATTTAAGTATAAACTGTTACAAACTCATCTGGACCTTAATATGGACTAAAATACTCGCTAAAAAAAATGTCAAAATAACATTTATTATGATAGCTCACTATCCATGTGGTAGTGGCTGGATTCAGGGACCGTGGAGACCATTTTGAAACCCAGGCTGTGGTAGGGGTTTCAATTCTAGCTAAGGAGTCACTGTTCCACCATTTATCATGTCTTTCAGGGGCAGATCCAGGATTTTTCTTGGGAGGGTGTGCACCACTAAGGAATGGTGTAACTGAATACCAGTTATGTCGGAAAGCTACATGTCATCTCCGGGGAAGGGGGGGGGGAACACACCCCATGCACCCTCCCTCTGGATCCACCCATGTCTTCGCACTCTATTATAATTACAACCCCAATAAATTGAACAAAAAAGAGGTAGGGCAACAGCCCTACCAAACCCCTCCTCCCTGCAGTCCCCATAATAAGGACTATGCCACAGTATCCTTAAATGATCTTTCTTGATGTACAAATTTCACAAACTAAGATAAGAAACATCAAAGATGTAACAATAAAACAACATGGAGCAATATTGTATCTTCAGCATATTGCCACATGGTCAGTGAAACAGTATTTTAAAACGAGTGTTACTGAAAATAAGAGCAGTATAAACCTAATAAGAGTGAATATACAAATGCCACGCATTGCTTGTGACACGTCAATATGAATTACTAGTTTCACAAATTAAAAAAATAACATAAAAATAAAATACCACTTTTAATGTCTAATAGACATACTGTTCAATAAGTGTCCATGTCACCATGTATTTATATGTACAGTTTGAAACTTCACACAGTCAGTATTGACTTGGGATCCTCTGGTAAGGACCAAGCAAAGTTTGACTTTTAAACCTAAAGTGAGATTTTCATTCTTTTTTTTTTTACAATCTTGTTAGTGTGAAACATTTTAAAAACAACTAAGCAAACCAATTAATCAATGCTCCATGTAAAATATCATATAAAAGCTCATGATTTATTTTCAAGGACAGTTTAAATGTCAGTCACATTGCTTGTCTCTGATTCAAATACTCAAAGATAACTGTTAAGAATAGCAAAGCCTGCCACTTACTATTCACAATATCTATGCAGTAACTGTGAAATATTGATGTAAAATCCCCAATTTGGCCTTAAAAAGCAGCACAATACATGACTTTACATGCAAATGGTGTGCACGACCTAAGTCTACCTACTTGGGTTGAATTGAGGTAGGACTCTCTAAGCAAGATTACAGTGATGATCACCCAACTGCTGCCAATTGACAAAGCTTCTGATCAATTTTTGACCCCTTTCTAACTCCTTTCTGAAAATAGTACTGTTACTGTTTTGGCTTTTCCAGGTTAAGGTCTATATCAAATCAAATTGCAAGAACAGTGGGAAGTAGAGATTTCAACTTTCAGAATGCACTTGTATAGTTTCAAACTCTGCCTTTCAAAGTTCATATATATTTTGTTTGGCCAATTACAACAAGCTATCAGACCGTTGTCAAAAATTAATCACAAATTTCTACAAGTGCGAGAACATTTTTGGTGATCATAACTTTATTCTTGCAGCCAACAATGAAATAATTATACCCCTGATTTTAGTTGCATTGCTTCCATGTCAAAGTGTTTGTAAGTTTGGTCAATATTATATCCAATTGCTACCAAGCTGATTTTCAATCACTGTTTTTAAGTCTGTATATCAGCTTTCCTTCCAGTAAACTGAAATGTATTTGTTGCATCTTGCTCATTGAAACCTGGCCAGAAGGACCCTGATAGATGCAGTCCTTCACCATCTCTCGAAATAAATACTTGCAGTGCACCAGTATACCAGTTATCGCACAGTTTGCTTCTGGTCTCAAAACACATTGATGAATCTTCGATATAACTGTCAGTTTTGAATCCCACTACATCACCAAAAACACTTGAGGTAGGGAATGAAATATCACCATTTACACTGAGCCCAGAACCAAACAGGACAACTTCTAATGAACCTTCTCCTCCTCTCTTACATAGTGGAGCAACAATACTTAGTGTCCAAGTACCTTCCAGTTCCATATTTAACACCTCTTGTTCGTCTTCCTCATTTCTTTCCACATTATCCTCTTTGGAAACTAGATTTTGTGAACCCTGTTCATCATCTGATGTGGACAGGAGCTTGGCGATATGTGATTCAATAAGCCGGAATTTTGATCTTGGCAGTAATGCAACTTGTTTTACTTCATCAAAGAGTCTCAAGTAGGCTGTGTTCCTCTGTGCCATAACAGCAATAATCTGCTCCAGTTGCACTTTATCACATTTCTTTATACAGTCACAAAGTCCTTCAAGTTCTACACTTGAATTTTGAGTATCCTGTTTTGCAGTGAGGTTCTTAGCCTTGAACTGAGTTGTTGTCTTTGTCGTTTTTCTCTTGCCAAGTCTTTTAATTGGGCCTGTAGCCTTCCTAACTTTTTCTTCATCATTAAAAACTGGTTTGTTTCTTAATTGCCTCCTCTGGGCTCTCTTGTTGACTTTCGCATGGAAGGTTTCCTTCCCATACTTCTCCTCTGCAGCTTGCCTCAGTTCTTCAGAGTTCCAGAGCTTGACTGGTCTGCCCTTCAAGGGTTTGTTCATTTGACGATATCGATGTACTAATGAGTGTAAATCACTGTTGCTGAGAAAAAACTCCTTCTTGGCGGCAGTGCTGCATAACCAAGAACTGCTGCTCTTTTCAAGCTTCTCTAGTGATGACATTTCTGATACTCTGATGGCAATAAAAAT